CAGGTTTTGTTATGTGGGCCAGTCGGTCCTAAACTTCACGAGATGCTGGATGAGCAGATAGTTGTCCCCCCGGAGTCTCTCCAGGAGACAGATGAATTTCACCTCATCCTGGAGTATAAAGCAGGTAAAGAGGAGAACACGCTGCAGCTTTTACAGCCTCTGTTGCACTTAACACGTTTCTGTCAGTCTGTTATGATGGGTAATGCAACAGCTGTGTTTGGTCTCTGTCTCCAGGTGAACAGTGGGGTTCAACTCAGGCACCTCAAGCCAACCGCTTCATCTTCTCTCACGATGTGTCCAACGGGGAGATGAGCTCACTGGAGACGTTCGTGGCGAGTCTGGACGAGTTTCAGCCGGAACTCGTCGTCCTGTCGGGGCTCCACATGATGGAGGGTCAGGGCAGAGAGTTGTGGGAGGATCGACTGAAAGAGGTCAGTGGCTAAAAGCTGTCCTTTACATTTTCTCTACCTGTTGTTTTAATTGACAAAACTGTCCCATTAACTGAAAATCATATATTCTTAATCTGTTATTTCTGCTCTCCAGTCACAATATATTAAACTTTAAATACTTTATATATTAATAAACATTGTCTACTTTTATTAAAGACTACTGATGTGTAGTAATGCACTGAAGAGTAAAGGTGATCCCCACCTTTATGGGATTCTCTTCCCATCTTTTAACCCATCAAAACCATTATTTTATGCTACTTATGCTATTGTAAATTGGTCCTAACATTTATTGATTGAAAAACTATGAAAACGTCTTATACTTTCCTCCTCGCTGCAGGCTGTGTCAGCCATATCTGACATTCGTAAGGATATTCCCATCCATCTGGAGCTGGCAAGCATGACCGACAAAGACTACATGAACAGCATTATGCAGGAGGTACATGTGGAAAACAGTTCTTTCAGAAAATCCTTCACAGAGAAAGGATGAGTGTGCTCAAATCCCACAAATCCCTAAAGGGTTCGGTATATTTAATTAAAGTTTTTTTTTCCCTGTTTCCTGTTAGCAGGTTATGCCCATTGTCAGCTCCATCGGCCTGAACGAGCAGGAGCTGCTCTTTCTCTCTCAGGCTGGTGAGGGGCCTCATGCAGACGTGACTGCCTGGAAAGGCATTCCAGACGTGGGCCGGGTCAGCGACATCCTCCACTGGATCTTGGAGCAGCACGGCCGCAGTGACCCATCGTCAGAAGCGGACCTGACTCGCATTCACTTCCACACGCTGGCCTACCACATCCTGGCTACGGTGGATGGATACTGGGGGAACCAGGCGGCAGCAGTGATGGCTGGAGCGCGAGTGGCCAGCAGTCAGGCCTGTGGCCTCCAGTCTGTTGACGTTAGCAAAGTGGAGCTCAAAGCCCCACAAGAGTTTCACAGCTCGCACACTGAGCCACGGGAGAAGCTGTCCCTGAATCCAGCAGAGCCTGTTACTGTGTGGCGCAGGGGAAACGTCACCTTCCACCTGACACCGGTGCTGGTCTGCAAACAGCCACTTCGGACAGTAGGGCTCGGGGATGCCATCTCAGCAGAGGGATTAGTTTACTCAGAGTTAAAGACCCAGCAGCCCTTCTGAGGATTGCTTGAATCTGACACTCCATTTCTCTGGAAAACATTGATTGGAAGTGCTGAAAAGAGCCAGTGAAGTTTCACTTGCAGTGGTGTTGGAGTCATGTTTCTAAACCTGTTTAGGCATCTGTGTCCTAAACCAGGTTTTGTGTCTTCCTTCCCGAAGCTCCACTGAGTTTAAGAATGTGATCGATGGTGATAGTTTTAAAATCCTGCCTGATAATTTTTTTCCAGCCTGCTCCGGTCTCCTCTGTTCTCCCTCCTCTAGTCCTCCAGCAGACACAGAAACTGAGGCAGAGCTTTACAGCAGTGGATCTAACCCGGGCTGTGAGGTGGCCTGACTCTATGCACTGGGTGCAGCTTAAAGCCATCTCCACAAACTCCAAAGAGTTTTGTTGGCTCACCCAATTTACGTTGACCTGCATACCTTCAGTATGCTGTGCCTTGAGAAAATAAAAGTAATCATTAAATATTTTAGTCATATTTCAGAGCCAGACAAACTCAAAATTAAGTCTCACATCAGTTACCTTTCTGATATGTATACTCTATATATATACACACACACATAAACAATTGTGTTTGACTGGAGACTGACGGGCGTCTTACTATATTGTAGAATCTAAGTGGTATTCTCGATGTTATTTGTTTCTTCAACTTTTGGTGCATTGACGTCAAATAGTCACTAGATCACTTGAAAGCTCATTCTCCTATGCCTATCTGACTTCTTTACGTGTATTAACTGTTATGTAGAAATACTTGACATGTATGTTATTTGTCCTGTGAGGATAAAAATCCTAGTGCGAGTTTGTGTTATCTCCATTTTTGGCCTAAACACTCCCACTATAAAGATGTTTAAGTTTGGAAACTCTGCCCAGTGCAAACAACATTTTTAGGGTTGTTATAATCTCCGTTGCTTGCTCTACATTATAAATTGCTGAAGCAGCATCCATATAAATTGTTGATCAATGAAATGTCACACTTATAAATGCAAAGTTAAATGTGGTCTTGAAGGGGATTCTTCTTTATGCAGTAGAGCTCAGTTTACAATCAGATGCCAGCCAATTAACCTAAAGGTTCTGTTGGAGACAAAAGGTAAAATATAATGCGGCGTAGGTCATGTTATCAGGGTCACTGTACGTGTTTTTTTCTGTATTGTTGGGTTTGTACAATCTTTCAGTTATTGCTTTCCTTCACTTACAAGATGTGATTATGTCCTGGAAAACCTTACAACCTGACCAGTGCAACATACTGCATATACAATTTAGCATATAGATAAATTGTGCTTTTTCATGGGTGGGTTGGTTGGTTGTTGATTTTTTTTCCTGAGCTTACTTAGGAACGCCTGCATCATGTTAGATGTGCAGTATGTAACTGTCTGAGCAGCGTATTTGTATACCTCACATGGCCACTGAAGGCATGCAATAATGGAGTCTTAATGCAAACATACAACTGAAAGATGTATGGCGTTTTGTTTAGCAGAATGAATTCTTTGCACTAGTGGGAAGTGGCAGGTGTGCCTGCAAAGGTGAATGTAATCTTAACTCCAGACCCCCTTTTATTTTTTTAGCAAGAACAATCTATTCAACATACTAATTTCATAGTTTGTGTCTCATGTTTTTAACATTTGTAACTGTCAACAAGTTTCATTTACTTGTAGTTTGTCATTAAAATATGTATGGAGAGTAGTACTTGGCTTGATTGTAGTGCTGTAGATAATTGCACATATTTGTCTATGTTGAAAGAAGCTGAAACTAGTGCTGAAATTATTAGTTGAATAATTAGTTTTGATTAATTTGCATTTAGCAGCAAATTTAAAATTATCACATGGTTTAAACATTCTCTGGTTCTAGTGTCTTAAATGTCAAAATTTGCTAATTATAATTAATTAATTATATCAATATAAAGTAAATATATTTGGGTTTTTAGAGTGTTAGTCATAAAAAAATAGACACTAGAGGATGTAATCTTCATCTGAGTAATATTAATTGGCTTTTTTAAAAACTTTTATTGACTAAACAATGAATTAAAAAGAAATCAATAGATTAATTGGTAATAAAAATAACCCTTACTGCAACCCTACTTGAAGCAGTATGTAGTAAATGAATAGAAATCTACATTTGTTTAATGTTAAATAGATTTAAAGGACAGTATGTGATGTGATATAGAGAAAACATTTGGCTACCAGTATTTATTGGTTTTTTTTAAGATTTATGTATATTGTGTGGACTAAAGATTATCTCAGAGAAGCTTGGGATCCCTCCCAAGTCCCCTCATGCTGCAACATTAGTAGTTTATAAAACATATTTTCATGAATTGGAGAGAAAGAAAAGTACATAAATACATACAAAATATCTTTTGAGCTAAGGGCTGTACTACAAAGCGAGGTCACTGGCTTATCCAGGTAATGTCAGGAGTAACCTCCAGGTTAACTCGTGCTACAAAAGGTGGATACTTTTTACTCGAGGTATATATTCACGCTGTCTTAACTTCTCTGAGCAGGTTATCTTCATGGTTAACTCAATGTTACCTTATAAACCACCTTTGTTATAATCCACAATCCTGTGGAGATCAAAGGGCGAGAGTGTTAAGAGACCATCAAAATCCTCTAGTTTACCCCGATGATGATCTCTAAAAAAGATATTGATTCACATCTGAGGGAATTCAGTATCTAGCTTCTAGGGCCCTAAGGCATCTGTTATGTTCCCATTTCATTGTTACAATGTAACAATCAAACAGGCTTTTTATACAGTTGCAGGTAATTCATAATATAGAAATACCTTAATATACATAGCCTAGGCCTATATATAGAACACTTATTTCCAGAGGAATCCAGTGTGTGATTGGTGCCACTGTACACTTACATTCACACAGGGAGCTTTCAGCCTTGTGCTTTAGGGAGTAGATTTGAATTCAGGGCTTCAAGTTCTCAGGCACCATGATTTCAGACATAAAGCAGTTTTTAATTCATATAATACTTAATTCAATACATACATTGTACAAATTTCCTCCCTGATCATTTTTCAGGCTCACTTTCTAGTGGGCCCATGGTTCAATTTCTGTTTCTATATATTATATTTTTTTGAAAATGTACCACTGTCATATTGAATCATATCACAACTAAAATAAGAATTGGTGAAAAAAAAAAACATATGAACTGAACATGAACTCTGTAATGTTACATTCACAGCAATGCGCTGCCAACAAGCCTCCCTGTCTTTGTTGGCCTGTACTGCAGTGAGATCAGCCCCC